GTGCAAGGGGCGCGATTGCCATTTTGCGGCCTCCATCCCGCGAGCTTGGCTGCCCTGTGTGGGCCCTTTGCTGCGTTTCTTTCATTGGCGGGTGGATTTGCTGCTTTTTGTGGCTTTTGGTACCATCATTGGACTTACCCCATACAGAGCTGTGAATGAGTTTGACCTGCTCTCTGGAGCGTTTTCTGCAGGGATATAATTCTTGCCAGTTCCTACATCTGGTCTGGAGACTTTTTGCAGTGACCTTCAGAGTCGTCGGGTTCCTGGATTCTTTTTCACAGGTTCGTTTTTCTCTGGTTTGCAGCGTTGTCTTGACTGACAGGGCTGAAGTTGCACTTGCGGCCACCGAGTGGCGCCAGGGTTGGTGCCTGACAGCGTGGACAGTGCCTACTCCACCTGTGGCATCATACAGCAGTGCAGACAGTAGTTCAGACAGTACAGATGAGCTATAAGCGGACCAGGGAACAAGATATCAGTGATGAGTGGTCTACAAGAACACCAGATGCATACCTTAAGCATACTCAGTTTTGTTGGAACAGAAAACAAACAAAGACACTGCATACCATGCCATGGGACCTCAAGATGAGCAAAACCATGTGGACACTATCGGATGCTTTTTCACTTCCTACTTGGAGTTCCAGAATGCCGCCTCTGCCGTGTTTTCCAGGTGAATTTGCAGATACAACTGAGACAGCTTTCATCGAAGATGCCTTTTCTAAGGTGGGATTGAAGGCTGTTAAGGCAGCAGACCATCGGTTGTGGGAAGAGCGGCTTAGCTGGGAAAGAAAATGTGCATGCAAAAAATGGTGTTGACAAACTTGACTTCTTTCCATCCATAAGTTGAATGCACGACTCGCTCCCCAAACACTTTTTGGGCATGGCTCCTTGGATTCCGCAGGATGGTCTCCCACAAGTCTCTCGAGATCATGGCCTTAGGGACAGTAACTCGGAAAGTTGACAAAGCATGGCTATCAGCGGAGACATCGGTGGCACGTGCCCTTTGCAGCGGTACCTTGGGTAATGTCTTTAGCAAAGGCAGAATGCGGAACTGGTGCAAAGTTACTCGACCCTGCGCAATGGTGGGCAAATAGCCTAATTTTGAGTCAGCCACCGTCTCCGGACCGGGGGTCCAAACAAGTGCAAAAGGTTTCTCTGGGAGATTGTGCAGTTTTGCAAGTCTTTGCAGATCTTGAACCTGTCCCAGATTCTGGCACAGAGTGGCGCTGCCACTCGGCGACTGTCCGGCTTCCAATTGTCTTTTTGCATCTGTAAAAGAAATAAGAGCGCCTTTTTCCCACGCACCTTCCAATAATGCAACTGGCTTTGCATTCTGAGTCGGATTGGTTCGGATTCGGGCGTTGGGCGACTTATTGCTTCTATCAGCTGGCTTGTTCTGACCTTTGCCCTTACCGTTCTCAGGTGAGTTAGGCTTGTTTTTCACTACATCTGCCCATGTCTGCTCAGCTGGGCGTTTTTGAGATGTTTGTCTCGTGGTGTTTTCTGTTGAGCTGTTTTCTGGCGACATGCCAGGTGACGCTTTCATCTTTTTCTTGGGCGGCTCATGTGTGGCCTCAGTGGATCCGGGCATCTGCTTTGCCTTGTTCCACTGTTGTTTTTTCTGCTTTTTGTTGTTATTTTGCGTAGCCGTGCTTACCAGAGAAGTGAGCCTCTTGAGGAGGGTTCCTGGTTCGCGCTTGGCTCGTTCGATGATTTTCTCAAGTGATCGTAAAAGACCCGTTTCAGGCGTGTCATGTGCTTGGTCAGCTGCAGGTGCTGCGCTGGTTCCTTTTCCTTTGGCATTAGATTTGTTTTTTGGTGTTGGCTGTGCAAATTGCTGGCTCTCTTGCTTCTGACCGGAGTGCTGTTTTGCATTTGAAAAATTGCTCAAAAGTCCGGCTAGCGCTTCAAGCAGAGCAGTTTCATCGTTCTCTTCTTTCCTGTGGGCAGTGGTCTTGGCACTACCTCTACCCCCACCCCGGAACATAGTATTGAGTCCCACGCGTGGCACATGGTGTGACATGCTCACTTTCGGGGGCTTGACTTGTGCTTTGGTTTTTCTTGGCGAGGCAATCTCATTCTTCCTTGGACAAAGACGCAAAACACGATTTGGCCAACTGAGGAAGGAGGAGAGAGCGAGGAAAACACCTTTCACGCTAATGCTGGCAGAGGGAACGTGCCAGCACCATGGCAAAAACATGCATGCAACGCTTGTCTGCAAAAGCAAACGGAAAACAGAACATTGTTTGGCCTCATGTTGAATTAATTTCAGCCGTCGGCGCCAAGAAAAAATTCCAGTGTTGCCTGGGCCCTTTCACTCTCTGGCGACCAGCTTTGCGCGCTGCGCTCGGGATTCTCTTTTGGCGTGGCATGTTTCTATGGAAACACTTGGCGAAAACCCTACGTATCTTGGCACAGACTGTTTCGGCAGGCATGGAGAAAGGGCGCGCTGTTGGCCTTGCATTCCTATGTCGGCTCGTCTGTTTGTGCAAATAATTTCCTTCATGGGCATGTCTCACACAGGCTACGGGCTCTGATTGGGACAGCAAACGCAAAATCACATACACCAAACTCATGGCAAGCTTGGCGCTCCAGGCATGGATTGTTGGCATCGCTAGCATGCAAATACCGCGCATCATATGAAAGGCACAGAAAGCAAGTATGTGGAAAACAGAGAAATAGGAAAACCCACAGTCTGAGTTCATCGCATCACTGGACATCTGTGCAGTTGCATTGTAATTCAGTGACAAAAGCTGGGGAAACCCACCTGCCACATCAATATCACTCTGGATTTCTGTTGCTTGCGCACAACTGCAAGTGCAAAACCACAAGAGTATGCATAGGAGTGCAACTGAGGGCCGATACAAACAGGCCTGATTTTTCTGCCAAGCTTTCGCCACCAAACATGGTGCCCATGACGACCGCGAGGAGGTAGCTTGGCAACTGTCACGAAGGGCGGCGAATGAAACTTGTTTTGGAAGGTAATGGGCCAGGTAGACACCATCACCCGAAGAATAAATCCTTAGTTGCCGCGATATCGGCGATGCTTGAGAATGCGCCCTGGGCAGCTGCAGTCACGCTTCTCACATCATAGAGCTGCTGCCGTACCATTGCAGTGTCAGCTACCATCTTCGGCAAGCCCCAGGTAACAACAGATCCGTATGATGTCACCGCGGCAAAAGCGCGGCCGCTGGCAACGATCTGCACCACTTTGCGCAGGCGTTTGCACACACCAGAGCTGTCGGAGCCGTAGGCAGGATGCCCTCATGTCTGAGTGCATGGACGCTGGGAAGGAGTGTAGCTTCTGGTGACAGCATGCGTTTGGCAGGTGGCGGTCTTATGGAATCCGTGGTTGATTCGTTGTCTGGAAAGGCAACTGCAACTCTACATGCACGAGCTGGACCGTTGCTCAAGTTTGCAAAGTTTTGGAAGGACAAAGGGTTGGAATTTTTCCCAATACAAGAATGGATGGTGTATGACTACATCAAAGCACAGTCCACATGGGCTCCAACTGCTCCGAGATTCTTGCTCGTGTCGCTGTCCTTTGCATTTCACATTTTTGGACTAGCTGGAGGAAATGTTGCAGCAAAGTCTGGAAGGGTGAAAGGGGTTGCCGACAGTTTTTATGCCGACAGGCGCAGGATAGTACAACGGCCACCGCTGACTGTCGATCAAATCGTGGCTCTGGAAGCAACGGTGCGAGATGTGGGGCGATCCAATTACGATCGCATCGCAGCTGGGTTTTTCTTACTGCTTGTTTACGGACGTCTGAGGTACAGTGATGGCCTACAGCTTGTGGACTTGCAGCTTGACTCAGCAGAGCGTGGCGGCAGGCTGTCGGGTTTTCTGGAAGCTCGAGCTGAGCGCACCAAGACTTCGGTGACACTGGAAAGGAAAATAAGATTTTTGCCAGTTGCCATCCCCTTGGAATCCTTGAGCGAACCATGTTGGGTACCCACATGGCTGGATCTCCGCGATGAAGCGGGGTTGAACGGCCGGCCACCACACCCTATGCTACCTTCGCCTCAACTGGGTGGAGGATGGTCGCCGATACCTTTGCCAGTGGGAGCAGCTGGAGACTGGATGAGGTCGCTGCTGAAGATTGAGAGTGTGGCTCGTGACAGAGTAGCCACGCACTCATGCAAGGCGACTTTCTTGGCGATGGCAGCCAAATTTGGCATGGACTATGACAGCCGGAGATTTCTTGGCTACCATAGTGAAGGAAAAGATCGATCCCTTTTGACATACTCGAGAGATGCAATGAGTGCACCGCTGAGGAAGTTGGTATCAATGATATCTGCCATCAGAGACAGACGTTTCTTTCCAGATGCAAACCGCTCCGGATACTTTGCTGCTGATGAAGAGCTTCCACAAGACGCTGCTTTGGAACAACAAGACGACGTATCTGACGGCAGTTCAAGTCGAGATTCTGCCAGCGAAGAAGAAGGGAATCCGGATGAGGAAGAAGCAGTGGTGGCAGAGATGGTTGGAAAATGGTCGCCGAAAGGCGCTGACATTCCAGGGCAACAATTTGCGAGACATCGCATTTCGCGATACATCCATTCAATTGCCGATGAGTCTGGAACCCATTTTTCTTGTGGCAGAAGTGTCAATGCCAGGTACATCATTTTGCTGACAAAGCCGTCTTTCATGCATCCAGTCTGCAGCTGTTGCTTCAAGGCTTAGCTGTCTCATCTGGCGTGACCCAGGTGGATATGATCCGAGGGCAAAAATGCCGTCAGCTGGGTGTAGGAGTTTTTCAGTGAAACCAAAACAAACGTCCGAAACTCGGAAACAAACTTCTTTTGATGCAGAATTTCACGTTTGATCCATGCAGGTCAAAACTTCAAATCAGAGGTGATGCCTGGACTTCACATGCATGAGTTGTTAATGTAAGTTGCATAGCGTGATTTCATGTCAGGGTTTGAGTTGAATGCATGCAGCCCGTTCCAACAGCAACGGATGAAGCGGAACCCGAAGGTTGGGATGCAAATCGCACACTGATGTCATGCCGCATGAGTTGCAATTTGCCAGTTTTTCAAATTCTTGTTTTGGGGTGCTTTTTCAAACTCTGACTGAATTCACATGTCAATCATGAACAGTTTTGTCATTTCAGTGGTGTTGTGAAACTTCCTTGAACTGCTGCAACTTGACGCGAAGCCAGCGTCAGCTCCTTAAGCGCTGCCATGTCATATGGAGACAGCACAGCAGTGTTTGAACAGAGGGCTTTGCACATGGGTCTCAGTGCTGATGTTTTGAACCAAATTGTGGATAAAGGATACAAGAACATGGCAATGTTTGCATTTTCATGCAACTACTCGCCGGGAGCTTCAACTGACAAGCCGTTCCTGGAGATGATCTCGGCGACGCTGGGCCGGGACCCTGATCCAGCAGAGCTCAGTATCCTCAGAAGACTTTTTAATGAGAGTTATGCCAATGTTGCAGCACACATAGAGTCCCAAGTAAAACAGACGGACGAGAGTGTCACACGACGCCTTGCACCAGCAGAACGTGCTGACCGACTCAAGATCCAACAACAGAAGTTGAAGGGATTGGCCATCAGAGGCCAATATGAACCAGCTGATGCCTTAGTGGACAAATGCTGCGCTGCATATGAGTCTGACAGGCTTTCATACATAGAGTGGAGTCTTTGCATTAGTCGTGAATATGAACTTGCAAACAATGTCAAGAAGGACACTGACTTGTCTTTTAGCAATGATGGGACTTTGAAGCTAGCCCGGACCTCAAAGATCGAGCCGATGCAAGGCATGACAGAAATCCAAGTTAGATACGCTCTGGTTAGAAGGGGCCTGGCCATGGATCAAGCTAACATAATGGACTATGCAAAGCATGACATGTTGGTTGAGCTGTTGCTTGATGTGCGGATGCAAGAGCCGCCAAGTGGCTACCAACGCGTCACCATGAAACAGCTTGAGATTGCAGATAAGAAGTTTTTCGTGCTGATGGGTGAAGAGACAAGGGCTGGTATTAAAGCAGCCCAAGATGGCCGCCCATGTGACAAAGTGTTTGATAAGGTCTTCAACTGTGCTGAGTTTAGGCATTTGCTTCAGCCACGCATGGTGCCCACTGGTCAAGCAACCAAAGAAGGCTTGGCGCCTAGCTCAGACCCTCCAAGCAAACGTGCGAAAACCGGTGGAAAAGGAAAGGGACAGGGAAAGACCCCTTCAAGCCCTTCCACGCCATTTCAGAGGATTCCTACAGACCTTTTGAAGCTTGGTGCTGTTGGTGCAACCCCCAAGGGTAATCGCTTATGTTTTGGATACAATTTGAAAACATGTCAAGCCAATGTCAGTGGACAAAAGTGCGATCGTGGACTCCACCTGTGCTGCATTAAAGGATGCTTGAAGCCGCATCCTGCCCTGGAGTGCCCCAACAAGAAAACAAACTGACTCTCGAGCAAAGGTGACGAGGAGTCGGTTGGCTGTGACACCAATGCTGGTGTCAGCCGTAAGCGGCGGCCGGATTTTGAGCAAAGCAGCTCGACTAAGTTGGATGCTGCAGCTGTGACAGGTGATGGGGTCCATAAGCATTGGACTCCTGCGCCGACTTTACAGCAGGGACAAGCTAGTCCGGCAGTTACTTGCAAAGATGGCCCTATGCCTAAGGCAGGGGAAGCAGATGTGGGCGCTCCAACAAAGCGCCCAAATAATTCACGTGCAACCTCTTCGAGCTTTTCTGGTTACAAGGACACACCAATTTTTATCGAGGCATGTGCTGGTTGTGGTATATTGAGTTCAGTTGTACAACAAAGAGGCTTCCAAGTTATCTCAATTGACTGCCCGCGAAATCGCCACGTTCCAAAATGCAGGCTTGTTATTCTGGATTTAACAACACCTTACGCAGAACAGCTGCTACACCGCATTGTGAATGACTATCACGTTGCAGGGGTCCACATAGCTTTGCCCTGCGGCACGTGCTCAAAGGCACGAGGCATACCTTTGCCGGATGGTAAGCCGGGCCCTCCTCCTTTGCGAGATGCCGACCATTTACATGGATTGGATGGGCTGTCCGATGTAGATGCAGCCAAAGTCAAAGCTGCAAATGAACTGCATGCCTGGGCAGACAGGTTTGTGCGGTTTCTACATGCCAAAGGAATTACTTGGTCAATTGAGAATCCTACAAATTCTTGGTTGTGGGAGTTGCCTGAGATGAGCTTTGCATTGGCCCATGGACACTTTGTGAAGCTGCATGCATGTGCGTATGGTGGTGAACGTAAAAAGAACACAGCCTTCCTGTGCAGTTCTTCGCAATTTCTGGCGCTGGAAAAATTCTGTGATGGAACCCATCCGCACAAAGGATGGGGATACGACTATGAAAAAAGGGAATTCAACACAGCCAAGGAGGCTGAATACCCCCGAGCACTGTGTGAGCAGTATGCCAATATTCTCGAGCGTATGGTTTTTGGATCGCTTGACAAGAGACCTTTGGACATCAACCTCGACAAGGTTAAACCTCAACAACAAACGAAGGGTCGTGGGGTGCCACAAATTATTTCTGAATTTGCAGCTGTGCGCAGTATTCTGGCCAAAACTGCACCACCTTTGACAGACAAACGGACGTTGACAAGTTCTTGGATGGGAGTCCCATCCGGTGCAAAGTTGTTACGATCTGAAGCAAAACAGGGCGGTCAACAGATGTATGTTTTTGGAATTTTTCGAAGCATGCAACAGTTTGTTAGTGTCGCAAGGCAACTGTGGCACCCTTTTGATGAGCTGCGCAATTTACCAGACTGCTTGATTAGGTGCATTTTCAATTGCCTAAAAATTGGCCCTATGGAGATGACGAAGCAGCGCATTAAAACACTGCAACTGTGGACTGAATGGGAAAAGGAGCTTAGGGCTGATGAAAGGACGTTGCACAGCCAGCTGCACGAAAAAGTTTCCCATGTACTTGAAGGCAAAAAGCTGCTACTTTTGGAGAAGCTAGCCACAACCATAGATTGGCCAGATACAAAACTGCATCAAGAGCTACGCCAAGGTTTTATGCTCACTGGTTATGCTGCACCATCTGGAGTTTTCAGGACTGAGGTAAGACCGGCAGCCTTCGACAAAGAACAGCTGATGCAAGATGCAAAGTTTCTTAAACCTCTCTTGCTTGGGAAGGTCGTGTCGCCTTTTCATAGGGACGAACATGCTGACGAGCTCTTTGCAATCACCATGAAAGAGGCACAAGAAAAACACTGGCTGGAGGGACCTTATTCGGTTAGTGAAGTGGACGCCATGTTTGACAGGTGGTTGCCAGTCAGAAGGTTCTCAGTTTTTCAGGCCCATTGACGATATGAAGGAGAATCGGCTGAACCAAGCATTCAGCAGCGGGGAGAAGATTGACCTTCACGCGTTGGACTACACTATTTGGTGTTTGCAGATTATCACAAATCACAAGGTTTTGCATCTTTGGGGGCAACATGGATTTCTGTTTAAGTGATGGCAGCAGGTTGAGGGCAGCAGTGCACCCGTCTTGGAGGGGCTTGGAACCGAAACTTTTTGCTACGGCCTTCGATCTTGAAAGCGCCTACAAACAACTTGCGCTACATCCTGCTGAATACAATTGCACCGTAGTGGTTCTGCAAGACCCTGCTAATGGGTGCCCGGCCTGCTTCTTGATGAGAACCCTCCCATTTGGGAGTACGGCGAGTGTTTTACATTTCAATCGCACAGCAAGATTGATCTGGCGGCTCGGCTTGGAACTTAACCTTTGGTGGTCGAATTATTTTGACGACTATCCTTGCGTGACACATGGCAGTCAAATGGCGTCGACACAATCCTGCGTTGAGGGCCTGTTTCAGTTATTGGGTTTTCGGTTTGCAAGTGACAAGCTTGCACCCTTTTCCAACTCCACTGAAATGCTCGGGGTGGTCGTCGACACGTCGGACAAGAAGTTCATCAAAGTGGATAACAAAGAGTCGCGCAAAAGAGAGCTTGTTTCTGAGCTGAAAAACATATTACAACATAATGCGTTGGAAGTGGCAAACCTTCCAGCCATCCTTGGAAGGGTACAGTACGCAGAACTACGAATTGCAGGCCGCCATGGCAAATTGGCGATGGCAGATATCAGAGACTGGGAAAAGAACGAACATGTAAAGAAAAGCGTGCCACTGGATGATGTTTCACGCGCTGCATTTGAAATTCTTCTGGCACGTATTGACTCTGGAGAACCCAAGCGAGTCTCTGTGGATGAACCACAAAAACCTGTCTTGATTTTTACAGATGGGGCGGTGGAGCCCGGTACGTCTGGTGGCGTGGAGGCTACAATAGGAGGTGTGATTTTTGCTGACGATGATACACAGGTTTTTGGAACACGCGTGGACTCACAGGTGTTGCAAGACTGGATGGAAGAACTGACTCATCCGGTTGGCCTTACAGAACTGTATGGAGTTGTTGTGGCAATGAAACAATGGGCTCACTTGCTTCGTGGCCGTAGGGTGATACTTTTCTGCGATAACTGGACAGCTATTGATGTCTATGTGAAAGGAACCTCACCATTGAGACTTTGGCGACAACTTTTACTGGAACTGGAACGTTTGGATAATGATGCCGAGAGCCTTGTCTGGATGGCGAGGGTTCCTTCTGCAAGCAACGTGGCAGACCCGCCAAGCCGCGGGAAATGGGATGAGTTAAGCTTCTTACAACCGTTTGAAAGATGTTTTCCAAGCTGTCCAATAACAGGAAAAGCGCTTACAAGTTTGTGATGCTGAAGCGAACCGGGGAAAGACTGAGCAATGCCTTTAACAAAAAGGGTTGTGAACCAAGTCCAAAGCGTTCAAGAAAGGTCGTTCTGCAAAGCATGCGAAACAAATGGCAAAGCCAAAGCCAAATGGATGACTAATCCCCGTGTTTGCCATCAGCGAGAAAAAGACCGATCTGCGAGAGCCACCTTATCACTCCACTTGTTTTGCGGACAGCTGATATTTTTAAGTTTTAAGTTTTACGTTTGAGATGTTCTGTTGTGCGTAAGTAGGCATACCTTGTGTTTGACGTTTGTAGGGGCGCGAGGGTTATGATGTTTTGCATAAGCAGGCGAACGCATAATACCTTTCCCCCCTATATAAGGTATGTAGATGTGTGTGGATATATGTATATATATATATATGCACCACGACTTTTATGAGGAGTTCAAAATAATCTATAAGATCCCTGTTGGCTTGCCAATAGGTGTTTATAGATTGAATCGGGATAAGCATCCCACTCCTCAAAAAAAAACAAAGAGAAATTCAAACCGTTTGAACTGAAGCCTCTCCTCTTTGTTTTCTCTGTCCTCCTACCTCCAAAGAACAACTGGGAATTTTAAAAGAAACTTTTGGTGTGAAGTAACACCTCTGGTTAACTCATGTTGTTGGAAGGTTAAAGGACTTTGATACCAACTGTTTTGAAATATGTTCGAGAATCTTCATGCCGTTTTACCAAGTGGGCTTTTGTGATGATTTTATGTTCAGTGAATATATATTTATATACACTGCTGTGGAAACTTAAGGGTTTCATGCACGAAGAAAAGTTGGAATAACGATGTCACCACATGTACACATAAACATGCTGATTATGTGTTGCATGTACGTTTTTCATATCAAGCGGTGGGAGGGAGGGAGACCCTCATCGAAGCGTAGGTCCAATTTTTGTACCCTCCCTACTCACTGTGTTCGTTTTCCCACCCAAAAATTGGGGAAAGACTGAGCAATGCCTTTAACAAAAAGGGTTGTGAACCAAGTCCAAAGCGTTCAAGAAAGGTCGTTCTGCAAAGCATGCGAAACAAATGGCAAAGCCAAAGCCAAATGGATGACTAATCCCCGTGTTTGCCATCAGCGAGAAAAAGACCGATCTGCGAGAGCCACCTGTTCACTCCACTTGTTTTGCGGACAGCTGATATTTTTAAGTTTTAAGTTTTACGTTTGAGATGTTCTGTTGTGCGTAAGTAGGCATACCTTGTGTTTGACGTTTGTAGGGGCGCGAGGGCTATGATGTTTTGCATAAGCAGGCGAACGCATAATACCTTTCCCCCCTATATAAGGTATGTAGATGTGTGTGGATATATGTATATATATATATGCACCACGGCTTTTATGAGGAGTTCAAAATAATCTATAATCTTCGACTGAGTTTGTTAGCGAAGACAATTCAATTAGCTCCAAACAGTCCTGCCTCATTTTGGAAATCTTTGCTGGAAGCTGTAGGCTCTCAAAAGCATGCAAACAGGTTGGTTTTCGAGTAACTGCAGTTGACAAAGTTGAAGACAGGGCCGAAAATTTTCCCATTTATCAATGTGATGTTACCAATTCAGCAGAAAGAACACTACTGCTGCAATACGTTGAAGCTGAAAAAGAGGAATTGCTACACATTCATTTCGCGCCTAGCTGCGGTACTGCCTCCCGCACCAGAGAGAAGGCATCAGGGCCACCTCCGTTGAGATCAGATGTCCACCCTGACGGACTACCCAACTTGAAAGACAGTGACAGACAACGGGTGGAAGCTGCAAACGAAAGTTATCGTGCAATGATTACCATAGCAATGTTTGCCATTTCTCTTGGGATTAGCATCAGTGTGGAAAATCCCAAAAATTCACTGTTCTGCAAATGTTCATTTGTTGTACTCTTTTTGGAATGGCTGCCGCAATATCATGTTTGTGAGTTTCAGCACTGCATGCATGGTGGACGTCGCAACAAGTTCACTCACTGGATGAGCTGCAATCCACGCAATTTGACAGTCGATATGTTTCAGTCGTTGCGCCTCCTTTGCGATCAGCAGCATCAGCATGCAAGTTGGGCGCCTTATATTGATGAACACGGCCGGCAAGTTTTTCCAACAGCCAGTGAGGCAGCATACCCAGAGTTGCTGTGCACAAGAGTGGCATGCATCCTCAAGGCAGAACCTTGAAAGCTGGATTTAGTTTCCCAACCACTCTAGTCGACCAATTGGAAGCTGAACCACATGCTGCAAAGAGGCAAATCTTTACCACTCAACCTCGAGGAAAGCGATTGAGACCACTGGTTTCTGAGTTTCAAGCGTACAAATCAATTCTTTTTCCATTGAATGCAGAGCCGGCCATACAACAGTTTTTGAAAACGTTGCCAAAAGGTTCAAGGATTTGTCATCGTACTCTCACAGAAGGGGGTTTTTTCTGGGATGACAATCTGGCCAAAGAAGCCGAACTAGTTGCACACCACAGTTGGGAAGACGGGCAACCTGGAGAAATTTTGCGTTTTGGAATTCCAAAGGAACCGCATGATTTCATTGCTGATGCCACCGCTAAAGGCCACCCCAGAGACATCATTGCGAAGGTGCCACCCACTGTCAAGGTGCTGTTGAAAGAGTTAGCGTGTGGAGAAATGAGCAGACGCTTTGCCAAAAGGGCGTCCTTCATGAAACGTTGGCTCAAAAGATCTCTGGAACTCAAGGACAAGGAGTTGGAGCTTCATCAGCAGCTACCAACGCATTTGCAAAAGATTCTTCATGGGAAACGTTTGCTTTTATTTAAAGAAATTTTGACGGACCTGAACTACAGTGATGTTGCTGTAGTGGACGACATTGTTTCTGGCTTTCAGCTCACTGGATGGGCACCAAAAACTGGCGTTTTTGACCAAGATGTCCGAAGGCCACAACTTACACTTGATCAACTGAAGAAGATGGCCCCTGGCATTAATGCCAGTATTCAACGTGCTGTTGACGACACGCGCCCACCGAGCACGTCTGGAAGGAAACATGGTTGGAAGCAGAAAAGGGGTGGTTAAGCCCTGCCACAACATCCACGGGTTGTTCTGTTGCCAAACGTTTTGGATTACAGCAAGGTTCAAAGATACGGATGATCGATGACTTCGTTTTTAACTCCCGAAGGGATAAAAACCTTATTTCCAATTTTTGAAAACTCTTTGGTGTACAAAGAGTTAGCTGAAAAAACACAGTGGCCGTTAGGTAACCAAAAATAGTTTTTTGGGACATTTATTTTATGTCCAAACTTTTTTCAACAACAAATGTTCCTGTACAAAGAGAACACTGTGCAATAATCACACGTGTTACATTTTGGCTTAAGGGTGTGGTGGGCGGGAAACCCCCTGTTTGTTTCCTCTTAGAGGTTGCAAAGTGCTGGGGGGTTATGGATTGGGATGGCAATAGACTGCCTTCTCCTGCACAGAGCTCGGAAGTCCCTTTTGGTGGCAGCCAATATGGAGATGCAGTTTCTGATGTGCCGACCCTTCCACTTGCTGTTACAGAATCTTGCATTCCAAACAGACTTGAAACCAGGGGTCCTGTTGTTAGTTCACCTGTTGATCTCGGACATGCAGTTGGTTCAGCCTGGAACTCACTTACAGCGGAAACGGTTGAACCTATTTGGAACAGTGGTTTTTGGAAGTGCATATTCGGTGATGACAGTCTTGGAGATGCTTTGACACAACAGTTCAAGAGGCCCTTGCCTGTAGGGGATGTAATTTCCGAGGACGCTGCAGAGTCTGACAAGAAACAGAAAACTGTTAGTTCTTCTGCCTCTGATGGACCTCTTTTTCAGATTTGCGTCAAGAGCACAGATGACACTTCTTGGCAAGAGAAGCGTGATGCAATGTTGCAGAAGGCCTTGAAACACTCGTTGGTTTTGATTTCATCCTGGAACAGCGGCATTGAGTTTGTAGTTTGCTTGCAAGGATGTGACTCCACCAATGCACAGCTCATAATGTTGGGTGATGTTTTCAGAGGAAAAGCTCCGAGTACTCTGACGAAACGTGCAAACAGCATGAAGACACTTTGTCATATGCTTGCCGATGTTGGACGGGTTTTTCCCTGTAATGAACCTGCACTTTACGATGTGCTTTGTGAGCTGCGGCGTCAAGGGGCTCCGCCTTCCAGAGGTAAAGGCATTTTGGAAGCCATTGCATTTACACGTTATACAATGGGCATTTTAGAATGCGATGCACTACTCAAGGGTCGCCGTTGTTGGGGTGCAGCCACTAGTGATGAGCCCTTACAGAGGTGTCAGGCCAGTCCACTTACTGTCAAGGAATTGGAGAAACTACATCTTATTCTTGAAAGGGATACAGATGTCTGGAATCGCATGTTCAGTGGAACAGTCCTTTTCATGGTATACGCTCGAGCCAGATGGAGTGATGCACAGCATTCAGTTAGAATCTCGTTTGACAGGGCAGAAGGCATCATTCATTTTGTGGAGGTGCTCACAGGTCATCATAAAACTATGAGGGCATTGCAGCATAGGCATCAGTTCTTGCCACTCATTGCACCGGCCACAGGTGTTGTGGAGCAGAACTGGGCGCTTCTTTGGGAAGGAGTACGTGCAGAACTGGGCATTAACATGGACTTGGGTCATGCGCTTATGCCAGCACCTTCAGAAAGCGGCTTACCAGGGCGTAGAGCTTTGGATTCACAGGAAGCTGGAAAATGGCTTAGGGCTTTGCTTGAAGTTCAGGACAGTGTGCAAAAAGAGAGAAAGGTTTCTAGCCACTCTTTGAAGAGTACAATGCTTTCATTCCTTGCAAAGCGTGGGGTTGAGATGTCTGACAGATTGTTGCTTGGTTATCACTCTTCTCCATTTACCATGGGATTGACATACAGTCGAGATGCCATGGCGCGGCCCTTAAGCATCCTCGGTGACATGCTTAATGAAATTCAAAAGGGAGTCTTTCGACCAGACTGCACAAGGAGTGGTCGATTGATCAAAGATACTTCAGGTGCAGTTGCGAGTGCGTCTGGACATGTCAAGGACTCTGCTTTGAAGGTGGAAAGCAGCGACGATGAGGTCGACCTCAATGTGTGGAGCCTTATTCCTGCCACTCAGAATGAAAACTTGCCTGAAAACATTCCTCCTGATTCTGACCATGAAGTGAATGATGCCTGCACGGAAACTTCAAGCAGTGATGTTTCAGATTCAGATGTAGCAGAACCTGGTTTTGAATCCAAAGGGATGCGCACTTTTGAGCCACCTTCTGCTCCAGAAGGATTCCAGTTGTGGCAGCACACCAAGTCGAAGATCCTTCATTTGGTCTGTTACAAAACGCCAAACGTTTTCGAATTTGGCAGGAGACCGGGTGCTTTCCATACTTGTGCAAATGTGAATCCTAGATGGGATACTGGCATTTGTTGGAAGTGCTTTAGAAACAAATGATGTGTCTTGCAGAGATACGGCAATCTTGGCACGAGAAGGAGCTGCAGCAGGCAAGATTTCATTTTTTGCTTTACGTGGTAAGAACTTAAAACAAGTTCTGTCTCACAACAGTTGCAACTCTGTGCATGAACGTGCAAACAAGCTGTTGCGAGAGTTTTCATTTTTTGAGTAGTTTGAATGCCGTCGGGAGCTCAACTTATTTTGTTTGCTTTGGATGTCATGTAGCAGTTGTGCAACAGTACATGCCTTGGCAACATGTCAACACGCTGGGCTTGAACCTGAGCTTGTCGTTTGTGCAAAAAGTTTGAACAGGTCTCATGCAAAGGGTGACACTCACAACTTGAGAAGTGTAACAGTTGCATGTTGAAAGCCAGCGTTGTGAGAGCTTGGATTTTTGGTGATTTTTCTTTCCGCAGAAAAGCTGGATTCTGTTTGATAATGCTTTGGAGACGGGCTCACATAGCTGCTGACGAGGTTAGCAACTTGAGAGATCTCAAAGCTTCAATTGTTTTCAGTTTTTTCGTCTTGCAAACAATTTTTATCAAAAGAAGACATGTGGAGTTCACTTGTCATTTAATTTCTCAGTTTTCACAGAAGTTCCATGGCTTTGGTCGACAGTGAAGCTGCCTTTGAACAAAGACTTGGAGAAGTGATACAGGATGCAGCAGTCAGAGTTGCGATCCAAAATCAGGGTCTACGGTCTTTTAGCGCCCTTGCCTTTTCTTGTGGGACGCCGCAAAGCCCACCAAGCGACGAAGTGTTCCGTGCGTTTGCAGATAACGTACTGCCTGCTGGATACAATATGGCAACATTCAGCTCTTTTCGAAGGCTTCATTTTGAAGCTGCAACTTTAGTTGTTGCGCAGTTGAAGCAGAAAGTCACAGGTGATGGAGAGGAAGGCAAACAAAAATTGCCGATTGTTGAAAAGCAGGCAAGGTTGGTAGACCAAAGAAGGAGACTGAGTGGATTGGATATCGAAGGTGAGCTTCAGCCTTCTTATGCCTTGGTTGACGCAGTCAATGTTATGATTGAGACAAGCAGCGTACTGTGGGTGGCACCCAGCAAAGCCACTTCTCGTGACCAAGAGGTACAACATGGTGGAAAGAACCTTCCGTCAGTTGTGCAACTGGAACAACAGACGCTAAAGCTGTCTTCACCTACGCCCAACTTCGAGGCGGACTGTTCCTCGGGGATACAACTACAATGGTGTTTGCAGAGGCGTGCATTAGCCCTCGACCAAGTGCGACTTAGCAGTTGGGAATGCCAAAACAAGTGGATCAATCAATTGCTGTCCATACTCAATACTCCTCCTCCTGCGGGGCATGCCAGGATTACTTTGGAGCAAGTAATCAAGGCAGACAAGCAGATGTGGACTGAACTTGCTAAGTCCTTTACTGGTACAATAGTTGCTGCTGCGGGAGCAGTTGCTCCACCTTTCGATGAGCACATCACGCGGCTGAGGAATGACCCAAGGGTGACCATGTTACCCCTTCCTTCTTTTGCAAAGGAGGCCAAGAACGTTCAGACGCCAAATGCTTCAACAAGTACAGCTGCTCCAAAGGCCACTCCAAAAGGTCAGCCGAAGAAGAAGTTTAAGGCCGCCAAGAAAGCAGAGCGCAACAAGCCTGATGCGCTTTCAGGCATGGAGACAGTGACCAAAGATGGCCACAATGTATGCTGGTCGTTCAACTTGGAATCAGGTTGCCAAGCACCTTTGATTGCAGGGTCAAAAGTTCCAAAGTGCGCGAAGGGCTTGCATGTTTGCGCATTTTGCCACAAGCCCAACCATTCCCAGTTGGTTTGCAATTTGAAAAAGCGTGGGAACTGATCAAGGACCTATGAGGAAAGCTTTCACAATGCAGAAACATTTTTGAGGAATTTGTTTGATATCTGCCGATTTTTGAAGCCTCCGCAGTTGATGCAATTTCGGAGTCATCCCATGTTTCAACTTTGACTGGTGGTCCCTGGAACCAAAGTCGAAACAGCCTTCAAAGCGCCAGATCGAAGGTGAGGAGCCTTTTGATAGGGTGCCCAGGAAGGTGCTTGGTGAGGAGCCAAGCCAGACGGCTTCGAGTCGTCAAACCTTTGCAGGAATGGGTCTCGACGACATTCACGTCTTAGAGATTTTTGCAGGAACTGTGCATTTGTCAAAGAGCTTGAAGCTCAAAGGCTTTCAAGCCATGGCCTTTGGCAAGACCTCAAAGAAGTCGGAAGGCCAAGCCATCTTAGAGGCGGACCTGTCCAATAGGGATGAGGTCAAAGCGCTCTTTGAGTTTATTCGTTTGAAAGCGAATGAGATTGCTTTCATCCACTTGGCGTCTCCTTGTGGCATATCGAGCCGCGCACAAGGAAAAGAGATTGTAGCTTTTTAGTAGCTCCACATCAAAGAGCCAAGACTTTTACGCGATGATGTTTTTCCAGATGGGTTCAGTTGGTTGAATTGCTGACTGAAGCAGCCAACCCTTTGTGTGAGAGCACGGCCCTCATAGCTCCGACTGCGATAGAGTTACACATTGCAACCCTGAACCCATCAAACAGTTTAAGGTGGAAAACAACGCAGTTTCAACCATTGTTTCAGCAATTTCCAGATTTAAATTCATTCACTTCCACAATTGTGCACACGGTGGAACACGTGATGAGACAACGTGTTTGGTGACATGTTGCTTGGTTTTTGACAGTTTAATTTTTTTCTGCACCAAGCAGCACACTCATGCTCCATGGACGCCAACTGCAGTCAATGGAAAGGTTTCGTGTCCAATGCATTCTGAAGCTGCATACCCGGAGATTTTATGCAACAGAATTGCATCTCTCCTTAAAGCTGAGACGTTACGACAAGGTGCGCTGGAAGTAGATAATGTGAAAACAATGGTCAAACATCAGAGCAAGAGCACTAACCGGATTGTGCCTGGTGCTTTGCCTAGAGGCCAACAAATTCAACCTTTAGTTTCTGAATTTGGCACTTACATCAATGTGACTTTTGATGTTCAGTTTGGTGAAGCTCTTCAACAATTCTTACGAAGGGGTCAGCCATACAATCGCGTCTTCTTACTACTTGGGGTGAGACACGGGACGCGATTCAAAAAACAGTCCAAGATAAAGTTGCTGGAAAGAAAGCTTCAGGTGTTGAAAAATCTGAGAGACACGGGACGCGATTCAAAGGACGCGATTCAAAAAACAGTCCAAGATAAAGTTGCTGGAAAGAAAGCTTCAGGTGTTGAAAAATCTGAAAATGGGTTCTGCTGAGCATTTCAATGCTGTTTACAACATTGCCATTTTTGATGATTTTTCTTCGAGCATGGGTTTTTGACACGGACTCCACCTTCCAACTTATTTGTGATGATTTTTCTTCGAGCATGGGATTTGAGACGGACACCACCTTCAAACTGCTTACCTCTGGGATGGGTAAACATGGTGACGAAGCTTGCGAGAAAGTTGTGGTTACGATTCCTCGAGAACCTGTAGCCATACTTGAGTATTACGAATACCCTGACACAGCGTTGATCCAGGAAGTTGTTGCAGGTTTTCCTTTGACAGGTTGGCTTCCGGATTCTCAGGTTTTTTCCAAGGACCTTAGGCCACCTTGCACGAGTACTTCAACATTAAAGTTGGTGAGCAAGGGCATCGACGAGAGAGTCAAAGCCAAAGTCATGGCTACTGCGGCATCGGATTTGACTGAAGCAACATGACCTGAAATGGAGATGGAATTACAAGAAGGATGGATGGAGTTCGACAATGGAGATGGCAAAGATGACGCGTGGGCGTTGCGTTTTGACTTACAGCATTGCAGCGCTGGTTGCATACTCCTTGGATTCATGTGATCAAGCAGACCACCCTGCTTTGCTTGACAAGACAATGGGCTTGAAAAGGCGCTTACAAACAATTTGGCGTGAGGCTGGAGGACCGTGAAAGAGCGCGGGTTGTGACATGCCACCCTACAACAGAGCAGTTCATTTTGATGATGGTCAATGTGCTACCGTTTAGCGCTACTGGGAAAGTTTCTGGCTTCCTGCAGGTGTCTATATTTCTTTGGTACCTTGGGACAGTTGGACGAAAGCTTGAATAGACCAGTTTTTATGACAACTACACCTGGTAAGTCAGGTTGATTGTGCAATCAATACAGCCTGGAGTGAGGAGTGCTTGTTTGATTTGCTTGGGATCGTCTTTGCCAAAGAAGGCATAAAGCTACGTCCTTTGACAAGGTTTTTGGCTCACTGGAGGTTGCGGGACTTCGTGGTCGCCTTTATGGTTTGAGAATTTCATTTGTGGGTGACAGGCTAACGCATTTGGTAGCCCAGCTTGTCGAGTTTGTGAGTGGTGCAAAACTTGAACAGCTTTTGCAGAAAAGCTTGAAAGAGGCCTTGAGCCAGTTGCTCGAAAGGGTAAATGATGGTAAGCCTGTTGTAGCTTCCCCCAGTGTCTTCAGTACATGGTATGTTTCACAGATGGAGCTTGTGAAGAGAAAGCCTCCGTAGGTGCCATTTTGGTTAACCCATGGGGGAGAGCCGTTTGTGCCTTAGGATCGGAACTGCCTACAGAGCTTCAAAAGACTTTTTATCTGACTAGTAGCACCCAATCTACGAAGTAGAATTGATGCCAGTTCTGATTTCAGTCTTCTTGTGGAAGAGACAAATCGAACAATGTCAGATAGTTTACTACCTAGATAATGAAGCAGTCAGGCCAAGACTCATTAAAGGCTCAAGAGCTACCATTGTGGCTAATGCCATAGTTGATGGCTTTTGTGAGCTTGAGTCTAGTTTACAGCTCAAGACGTGGTTCAGTAGCGTGCCAACACACAGCAACCTAGGGGATGGTCAGCGCAGACTTGATTTCAGTCTGGCTAACTCCTTAGGTTGTGCCAGGTGTCAAATACCGTGGCAAGAGGTCAATGAGTTCATTTGGACACGCCTGAGTCGAAATGGGGCTATGGCGGGGCGTGAATGAAATGACCCCGTTTGCTGTGTGTTGAAAATAGGCGCTGTGAAACTTTCAACGTCAGCTGTTTTTCGACTCTCGTTTTTTATGCAGAAATTTTTCAATGAAAAATTTTAACGATGAATTTTTGGTTCGACGGCGAAGTGCTAGGTGTTTTGCAAGCGGTTCAATCTTTGGAAATAAAGCATTAGCAAGGTCAACCACACCTATGGGTTGAAAGAGAGGTTGCGAGTGCAAGCAGTGGATGAGTTGTGTGCGTATCTAGCTGTGATGATGGACGATGCGGACGCTGCCACCTTGCCCAAGATCAAAGGGCGCACATTCGATTTGAAATCAGCTTACAAGCAATATGGGGTGGATGCGTGGCACAGTGACTTCTTGCAGATTTGTGTTCGCAACCCTGCAGGCGGACGCGGCTTGTTCAATGTGCATGCGCTACCCTTTGGTGCAACAGGTAGCGTCACAGGTTTCCTCCGAATTTCCAATGCATTGGCCTTTATAGGCCACCATGGCTTAGATTTGATTTGGTCTGCCTTTTTCGACGATTATACTGTCATTTGTGATTCCGAAGAGGATTGCAACGTCACCTTCTACGTTGAATCCTTGTTCAGGCTGCTGGGTATAGCTTTTGCTTCAGAAGGCGACAAAGCCCCGCCTTTCCAGGAGAAGTTCAAATCGCTTGGTCTTGAATTTGATTTAGAGACACTATCACAAGGGACTTTCCTGCACAACATACATCCAGCAGACGCCAAGAGTTGGTAGCCACTGTAACTTCGATGCTAGAGCGGCCAGGAGTTTCCCCTAAGGAACTTGAACGTCTACATGGACGCCTGGTTTGGTTCAACTCATTCGTTTTTGGAAGGCTGATGAATCAGGCCGTCAAAACCATTTCTACTGCATGCAGGTCTAATGAGAAAACTATTGTTTTGAACAGCTCCCTTAGGGAAGCACTTGCGAATATACATGACTTGGTGCTGCACAGTAAACCTCTGGAGATCAGCAGGTCAATCTGCAAGACATGGACAGTTTTCACAGATGGTGCCTTTGAACCTGAAGCCGATCACCCAGCGACTGTGGGTGGTGTTCTCATCAGCCCAAGTGGTGTGGCACTGGAATGCTTTGGCGACTGGCTGAATGAAACCCTCGTGGGTGAGTTGGTCATTGAGTCCAAACACCCTATATATGAACTCGAAGTGCTGCCCTTGTTACTTGCCACATAGGCCTGGAGTCGCTTCTTATCTGGATCACCAGTCGCATATTTTTTGGATAACGATGCAGCAAGATCAGCATACATCCAAGGTGTCGGAGCTACAGCATTTGCAAGAAGCTTCACCCAAAAATTCGTACGTATGGAAAGCGCCTTGAAAATCCTTCCCTGGCTCGGGAGAGTGCCAAGCCACAGCAACATATGAGATGGACCGTCGCGACTTGATTTCAGCAATCCTCTTTTAAAACAGTGCACTCGTATTCGACTCCATTTTCCAGCACACTTCAATCAAATGGGGCTGGCTTCGGGTGTACTGGAGAAACCAAACTGAATCATCAGTTCTCCGGCGAACAATCCTGAGACCGTTCCCCAGAGCTTCAATGAAAAAAGGTGTGCATCAGCTGGATTCATTGGATGTCAGTTTGAGTTGCTTGTGTTTTTTGGTTTGCTGCGTTTTCCACGTGCGACGACGTAACCCGAACATAGCGCGGCGTGATATATAAATATATCCCTTTACATATTTATTTTATATGTGTTTTGTTTACGACAAGTCATGTCAGAACTATTTCACAGAAACATATCTGTGTGCCTCACTGGCTGTGCAACCGTTTTGTGGAAGAGGGAAATAAGCTCGAACTCTTCGAAGAAGATGAAAGCCTTATTTCACAAAACAAACAAACTTTTTGTCAAAGCCAAACTTTTGCTTCAAACAAAAAGAGGTTGCACTGCCTTGTAGCTTCTTCGTTTAAAACAGTTTCCACCGACTGGTTTTGAACTTCCATGCGTGGACCAAAGTGCCTCAACCGAAGCACGTTCGGTTGAGGCACTTTTTGCTAGGCGTAATGAAACTGAAAGATGTCACGCGATAAAGTTTCCTTCAAGTAACTTGGAAGTTCTGACTGTTCTAAATGATGAGGAAACTGAGATCCTTTTTCCTGCATTGAAATGCCAGTGGTTTGTTTTTAGAACAACTCAACAAGACTTCAATGCTCATTCACTTTCACACTGGATATTCTTTTTGTTTTCAACAAACAAGATCCTGTTGGTTGCGCTCACTTGCATGGAACACATCACATGTCAAGTATCCATTCTCCGCAACATCCCTTTTCAAGGTGTGGGAGGGTTGGGTTTCCTCAAACAATTTTTCATGAGGACTCGAAAATTCCCGCCCATTATATTTTTCCCACCCTTTTACTTTCTCATCCTCACGTTTCACTTCTTTTTTAGCCTCGT